GTGGCTATGACTTGTAGTTATGAAATAATATATAAGATGGATTTATTTATAAGGGTGGTTGAGATGATCTGGTCCACTGGTGGGATGATGGAGGGAACAACTGGCAGGCAGAGGCCTCCTTATATAGACAAATGTGAGGGATTTTGGCCCCAGGGTACAGGCTGAATGATACTACTACAAAGGGATGCATATGAATGAATAAAGGGACGCATATGTATGATCAAAGGGATGCATACATGCAATATCACTAATACAAAGGGGTTCAAAACAACGTAAAGGTATTCAATTCACTACAAAGGTATTCAGTATGCAATATGCATCCTGTATTCATAATGACTATGGCTAGAGTGAAGACTCCAAGAAATATCCCGTGACAGGTTGAAATCTGTGTAACTTCTAAACTATAAGAGATAAGGGTGTGGTTGTAGTGGGTGACTAAGGGTTATTTTACCTGAGGATTCCATTTTTGATGTCATTTTTACCATATCTTGAATGAATAAAGAGATAATAAGAAATTTTTATATTTTCTGCGTAGGAACACAGTATTATTTACCACAACGGCCGAGAGGGATTCCCCCCGGCAGTTGAGACGGTACACTCTCAATGGCCGAGAGGAATCCCTCCCGTCCACCGAGACTGGTCCTGATGGCCAGGAGGGATTCCTCCTGGCCATCGAGACTGTGCCTCTCCCGGCTGGGAGGGGTACAGTCTGGTGAAGGGAGAACTTTATTCTCCCTTCACCTCCCAATTATGGCGTTAGGAAGGGCGGGTTTGTCTGCCCGCCCCTCCCTGAGGGGGGGGTTCGATTGCACACCCCTTTTGGAGGGGCGGGGGTGTGGGCATGCGGGGAGGGGGGAGGAGTGTGTTTATCAACGCCCGGAATACTTCAGCCAATGTATGATCTCAATTTCAACTCACTTAGGGATGCCCATTTCTCAATCAATTTTGCCCAAGATATCATTAATAAAATTTTCTCTCAGTTGGGTGGTTCCCATACCTGATAATATATTACTCAAAATATACTGAACAAACATTTGGGTAATACAACTAGTGAAGAAGACCTGGGGGCCTGGTTATGATTCACTACTTTGGGAATTGCATCTGAAAAATCAATTCAAAACAAGGACCATGCTTCTATGTTGCAACACATAATAGAAAATCTACATGAGGCCACTCTATTTTATCATATCTGCTCAGTTGAATACCCGTCAACCTTTTGGATCAAAACATTTTTTGTTAATCAATCTGTGATCTCTCCTGTGGTGATGAAGTGCAAGAAAACATTGAAATTGATTCATAACTAGGACCCTAAGTAATATCAAAAATTGACCAATCTTATCAGTGGTGTTTTCTTCCAAGGCCTCCCACATGGATTTTCAGGATTCATCAAAGAATATAAATTGAATAATCAACTGATGTGCCACCAATAGTTCTCAACAGTGATTGAGGCAAACTGAGAGACAAAAGCTGGAAACATTGGAAGGTTGATTAATGTCTGGAAAATTGTGTGGTGGGTGGGTGATGACTGTTTTGAAACTGAATTCACTTCAGATGTTGAATCAGATGGCAAACAAAAAGGACTTCCTTCATTGTCACAAACCAAATGGAAGGTATATCTTGAGAAAAAAAAACCGATGAATTACATTGGGGAGGGGGGGTTGCCAAACTCATGGAAAATCAAGTTGCAAGGAGCCCCTCAGACAGTTCCAATTTCATTTCCAAAATCTAACCATGAAATCAGGTTTTAGTTGGAGTCTTGGACCACTGGTCTAGTGGCTCTGTAAAACATAAACCAAAATGACATTATGGATTGCAGACAATCTGTCAAACAAGGCCTTTGCTAGCCTGTAAACTCTAACTTATCAAAGTCCTCCCACCAATCTAAGCTGGCAATAAAATCTACCAGGAACTGTATAGTTCAAATCTTGGGACTGCCTTTACCTATGAGTCCTGCAGCTTAGTATATACGGCCCGTCAAAATCTGATATCAGGTCTAGAAGCTGAAGTATCAATGTACCGTGAGCTCTTGCAGATGATGCTTTACTGCTCATAAACAGTACACGGCCTCAGTTACTGTACAAATGCTTGGATTCTGATGCTTTTCATCTGTAGTTTTGAAGCAGGACCAAATGGTGTGCAAGAAAAAATATCCATGGAGCGTAGTTTAGTCTTGCTCTGTTGGTGCTCATAGTGTCAGGAAGACTATGGACAGGAGTTTGTGTTGATAGCAGAAGTATCAGAAGCTAGTTAGACATATCCAACTCATTGGCCATTTTCCGCCTGTTGACTTATTACACTCCATTGAAGGAAAGTCAAATGCTTCGCCCACTTACACTGTCATTTGAACCTATTTGAACTTAACTAAGTCCCCTCCTGGGTGCAAACAAGATCCAAATACACAAAATCTTGCCAAATCCTGCATTTGACATCTCTTGACCCCACAAAGTGACCTCACTATCACCACTGATCCCTCAATCCAAATTCAATCTTGTAGAGAGATGGATAAGTGCATATTGCAATGACAGTAACCCATGAACAAGTTTTAAAGCATGTTTCAACGTAATTCAACAAAACATTGTTTGTATTTTCCTGTCAAAGCTTGTGTCCTGCTTGTAGGTCCGTAGGATCTTGTCTGTGAAGCTCAACCTGGCCATAGACGTCTATAAAAGGAATGCTCAAAATCGAGTTTGTTTCCCAGCACCACACTGAACTAGCTCATTACTCAGAGTAAATCATCCGTATAAACATAAATATTTCAGATTAAATTTTCCTGTCATTGATTTACCATGCAAGCCTTCTTAATCTTCTGCTTTTTGGGTGTCTTTGCCCTCAGTCATCAAGGTGTTTTCTCCATGGAGGGCACAGGCCGTGGTGTTGGGAAACCGGCTCAAGGTGGAAAAGTCTTTGGTAAGCTGCAGTTTGAATATATCCTCTGTATTTACACAACACACCAACTCATGATAGAGAAAACATACTCAAACAAATCTTTCTTCTCTTTGTCCCATTGTGATACATCACACTTCTTCTAGTTCCACCCCGAACAAGCACGGTGAGGTCAAGTGAAATACGTGGCAGTAAAGACGACTCAGCAGCATCTGATTTTTCCAGTGTGGTTGTGGATCCACCAACCAACACTGGTAACAGTGGTAATCAAAGTGGTGGACGTGGCGGGTCAGGCAGTGTTGGAGAGGGTGCAAGTGGTAGGGGGGACACCTGAGGTGGTGGTGGGGATGGTGACTGCTAGGGATATATATCTGTTCCAAAATACCACATGAAGATCAATTTTATCATTTAACCACAAGGAAGTAGAATCTGCCCGCCCCAACTGTGCTGGATCAAGAAAATTATATTCAGGAAAACTCAATACACATTAGATTCTACCTCCTCATCCATGACAAGTTTTAAATATACTGTTGCTTTTTTATGCTGCAATATAGATTCTTACCCTCTTCTCTACATATTCAAAAATCAAAATCAAAAAATAGCTTCTTTAAATTCTGTATCCTGTATTCACACAAGAAACTGCAAAAGATCCAGAGTTACTATCTTTGACAAGAAGAAATGATCTTGAAACTGATGAATCTATTTTTGTACCACTTCTGAAGTAAATAAATAACCCCACTGAAACAAAAATAAGTCCAAAGAATCAAGAGGAACAGCTAGAGCACTCTTCCAGCTGACTTTGACTAGAGATGAGAAATTTGTTTTAATTCAGAAAAAAAAATGTTGCAGACAATTTGCAGCCACATTTTTTCGCATCCTGTCCAAATATGGCAGATAAATGTTTGAGTTAGAATAGGGGTATTCAAAGTTGAGGTGCACAGAGAGGACCCTGGCAAGCCCCCCAATAGGGGGATGTTAAAAAAGGTATGGCAGATGGCTAGAAATACCAAAAACCTACTCTTGAAGAATCTTGGAAGAGGTATGAATTAGTATTTTGGACCAAAAAGGTACTCTTGAGATCACTCATGTTAGGTATGTGAAACTGGTCAAGATGACCAAAATCTGGAATTTTGGCCTCAAACCCAGGCTTTTGTTGGGGAAACCCTTCTTTTGGAGGATTTTTGGCCCAAGCATATTCTTGAAAAGGTATGGATTTCCCAAAAACAGGTATGAATTTTGCCAAAACCCAGACTTTTTCAAGACCCCCCTCTTGAGGGGCTTGCCTGGGTCCTGCACAGAGTCATAAATGTTTGAATTTTGCATGCATAACCTTTTTTTTGGCATAATCAAATTCCAATCAATTTTACCGACAAGAACTGTTTATGCATGCAAAATTTCAACATTTAGGAAATTATGCAACTCAACTTCCAACACCACTATTATAGACAAATTTGGATCAGATTAATAATGATGGGGGATGAAAGAAATGAGCCTAAAGTCTCTTGGGAATGACTTTGCCTTGTGTGGAACCAAAATTTGGCCTAGGAACATTCCACTACTTTGGAAACACTGATTTTGCCTTGGACCAGATTTATCAAAAAAGCACGATTGTAGCCATCACTGTGAGCTATTGAAGGCTCAGATTGCTGTGTTAAAGTGTGGACCTGAACCATTCAATTATTGATTTCGCATTTGCAAAATCAGGGCCCCTTCATTTCAGAGGCAAAGCTCATTCAAGGCTGGTGACCTGGCGCAGCTTTAATCCAAGGCAATTTTTTCGACACCTCTGGCCTGGTACAACAACTTGGAGAGCTATTGATCCAATTTTTATGGACTTTTCTTTTCAATGCTACAATTAAGCTCATCCGCCTGATTGTCTCCGGCAATACCCTCAACCCAGTCTCAGTTTCTAGGTGTTGCCACTTATAACCACCGCAGACAGAAAAGCGGTGTGGTAGTCAAAAATGTGAAAATTCAAAGTTTTTTCCTTTTCTTTTCTTATATATATGTTTCTTCATATTATCACCCAATCACTCTCAGAATTCACACCATACGGCTCAAGAACTGGACTCTACAGATAAATTCACCCTTGGTCACCACGGAGGCGTCACTGGAACACACCTGGATCAACTCTTACCCAACACGGGACAACATATCACAAGGATTTCACCCATCATTACATATCACCAAACCCAATTACAACCCTCAAGCTACACAGACACCCTCAGTACAGTACACACTCATTTACATATACACTCATTTACATACATCTACACTCTTTACATTTCACTTCTACATATTACATCATACCTGCAGCCTAAATTAGTGTATTTTCCATGCATGACAGCCGCAGCTTACACCACCACACTCACTTGTAAACACATCAGAACCTGACCAATCAGAATCACTCATTCAGCTGCTTGGATCACCACTTCAACTCTTGTACATGTCTGACCAATCACATTCACTCATTCAAATTTTGTATGTAGCTAAAAATACCTCATGTAATAGCCCAGGCCAGCCAAAATCACTCATTACTGGCTGCCCTGGAGCTAAATTCCCTCACTGTTGTATATATAAGGAGGCTCTCCTCCCAGTTGTTTAATCCTCAGTCAAGTAACACTCAAGCAATATTTGACCACCTTCACACAAACACTTTAAAGCGCCAACCAAACACCAAATCAACACTCTTCATCACACAACTCATTCCTGAACTTTACCCTATCACTTGATTAAAACTTTCCAAGCTAAGCTTGGTGGGTCTTGTTATCTGATAGTATAGAAGGGCAGAGTCTTCACTCCATCATCCCCTTCTCCATTCAGCAAAAAGGGTCTTACAACCACTTTTTGAGTCTTACAGCGGGTCAACGCAAGACACTGGTCAGTCTGTGGGCATTGCTATTGGCTTTCCTAACTCCGAAGTGACTCCGTGAAACATAACCCTAACATAGCATTGAGCAGTCTGTCAAATGGGGCCTTTGATCGAGTAAACATATCCTTTTGGACTGCCTATGAAGCCTTCGGGGCTCTCGTTACTTTTTAGTCTCACAGTTTCGTTATACAGTCTGACAAAATCCACTATTAGGCCTGGAATCCAGTGTATCCATGCACCGGATAAGTCCTCAAAGACTGAGTAAATGTTTCTACTCAAATTCTCACCAGTAGGAGCTTTGAAGCAAGGCGAAATATATTCCTAGCGCGCAAAAACAAATATCCATTAAACGCAGTACCTCTTTCATGGTGCTTGTCAGAAATAGATATGGGGCTTTGCCGATAGCAGAATTATTAGAAGTTGGTTAGACGTACCCCATAGGTTATTATCTATGTACCTGTTGAAAATTACACTCTAGTGAAGGAAATAGAAATGCTCCGGCCATTCACTCTGATATCATTTGAAAACATAACCCCTGCCATCTTCATCCCTTGACCCCGCAAAGCGTCTTCGTTGTCACTGTCACTACTTTTCCCTTGGTCTGAATATGATCTTGCAGAGATGGATAAGCGGGGATTGCAATGCTAGCAGCGGATGGAGAAGTTTCAAAGCGTGTTTCAAGAGAATTCAAACCACCCTTTGCTTGCGCCTATCAGAGCTCGTATCATGCTTGGGAGGTCTTGCCTATGAAGCTCGACCTATCCATGAACGGCTATAAAAGAACCACCCAAAATCCAGTTTGTGTTCCAGCACCACACTGAAAAAGCTCACTTCTCAGACTTTGACTCAGACTCAGAGCACATCAACCATACAAAAATCTTCCTTTTAGATTGAAAGTTTACTGCCATCGGTTTACCATGCAAGTTTCCTTGATCCTCAGCTGTTTGGCCGTCTTGGCCCTCACTCATCAAGGCGTTCTCTCGATGTACGCAGCCCGCAATGCTAAGAAACCAGTTGGAAAAGCCGCTGGTAAGCTGCAGTTCAGCTATTTATTTTTATCTTGACCCACTGACTCGTGATAGAGAAAACGCATTTAATCAAATGTATATCTTCTTCGTGACATTGTGGTACATTACACTTCTTAAAGTACCAGCCCGATCAGCCACGACAAAGTCAAGTGAAACGCGTAGCAACAGCGACAGTATGTGGTGGTCTAGTGCGGCGATCACGGATACAACCGACTACAGCTCCAGCGGTCATCATCATCATCTCCCCGAATGCGATGGCAAAAACCGACCATGCCCCGCCCGCCCTTTAACGGATTGACACGCGGGGTCTATGCCCGGGGGGGCATGTACCCCGATA